TGCTTGTTCAAGAAGCGTGGAAGGGTTGCAAGGTGCGAACCGTACCGAACATGATCTTTTCTACATTGCAAAACAATAACACGCGCTCACGACGGTGAGCGTGTATCACCACGTGACCCACGATCTGCAAACAGTTTAATGAGCTGTTAAAGCCCTGTTGATTTTGCCCCTGCGCGTCTCTCCGTGGGTGGATCGATTTATCACATATACACCTCTCGCTGTAGCACGTTAAGTGTCAACCTCTTACTCAACGGGTTTTAAGTCACATTTACATTGTCATTTATTTCTTGTCCACGCGCTCTCGCCTCAACTCAGACACCTCGGTGGCATTTCTAGTTCACCCCGATCGCTAGTCTCCCACTCAAGCGGTGTCGTTGTTGTTTTGGAGGAGTCTAGCTTAACTCAACGGCCTCACTAGACAATAACTGAAGCATCCATCAAGAAACCGGCTTGGAAACGTCGAACTTCAATGATGAATTATTGCGTGCACGTGCGCGCATTCCCACAGTGGCTGCCATTGGAACGCTATGATGCGGGTATCCAAGCACCTGGCAATGGGTATTATGAAGTCGGACCAGTATTTCCTGTGCTTGTAAAAGTTTACCAGAAAGTTTCGGTTTGTTTATTGAACGGTTTGAACAGTGGTGGATAGTATAGATACGGTTGAAAACGGAATTGATCATTTGTGTCCACTGAGGGCGCTGAGCAAATCTAGCAATTCTACAGACGGTAAGAAAAAGAACGCTCGTCTTTCAATCAAATTATTAAAGATACCCTTCTCACATTTGAGGATCTTGTTTGTTGCTCTACAGGAGGCATTGATTCAAATATTGTATGTATGCACTTACTCCGACGATTTGCAATTCCCTTTTGGTTTAACCAGTTTTGTAAGCAAGGTGACATTTGAGTGCAAGTGGCTCGAGTCCAGGGTAATGCACATCAGTCTTAAGACTTAATTGCTTAAAATCTCACAACACAATCACAAAAACCACCGATAGATGCTCACAAAATAATTGTTGTGCGTCGTGGTCACGGGGCTAAATTCCATTTCTTGTTTGTGAACGAGCCTGGTTTTGCTTCGTACCGTCCCACGTTAATTCAACTGCTCTGACGGAGAACAAACAGGGAACCAGTTTCAGAAAAAAAATCGCGCCTGGACAGTTGCGTCTATCAAATGGTCCTTAATCGATGCCAGATTTGGTCTGATTGTGGTAAGGGCTAAAAGCATCAGGAGATGAAGTTCAACAAAGATAAGGATACTTCAGACATGGTCGGATGTTGTCGGTGCGTGGAAGCAACCGACGTCGCAGACGATAGTCTGTTTCCCCTATCAGATGCGCACAACGACGAAAATTCCTTTCTCTACAAAAGTAACCCAGAGCCCCTGAAATCCGCGACAGTAACAGTCTCTTGGAAAAAACTTTCGGAATGTGAAAATAACAGAAGAGCGTACGCGAGCAAATGCACTCTTCAAAAAAATATAGACAGAATTTATGGTAAATGTTTGAAATTAGCAAGTAGTTCTTTTGTTGATAACCTCTGCACTCTTTCAGATCTCATTTACGAATCTTCCCTAACACAAGATATAGATAAGCCTGTGAATTTATGTACTCTAAAATGACATGCTTTACCGTCTTCGGTGAGAGAATTAATGTCTGTGTACAGGTGAGTTCTTGTCTCATCGCTATTAAAAACAAACACCAAAAGACGCGATGGCAATAAAAAAAATTCTGAAGGTACCAGGGAAGAATTCCACGACATCACCAATAATGTTTAATACGGGCCTGCTCGTCAAACTGCCATTTTGGTATAAATAACACGACGGCTGTTGATAACTGTTACCACAATGTCTCGCTCTTGGACGTAATTGGACCGCAAGACACATTACTCATAAATCTGAGGGGATGGAGGGGGGGTAATGTGCCAGCGAGTGGTGCACACACTCTCCAGCATGGGAGATTTATGTATCATGTACACAAAGTAACAAGTTATCTGATATATCGATTGTCGGGATAATCAAATACTGCCGAGTGTCGATTACTTCGCGTAGGTTGTCGAAACGAGCACAAATAGCCCGAACGATCGAACATTCGTCTGTGACGAGTTCACGATCAACGCCCGTTTATCGGGCACGAAGATTTTAAGAAAGTGGAAGTTTGAAATGTGGCCGCAGCACCAATAAAAATATTTATATTAGCAACATTTCCTTGTGACTCAAAGCAGAGTTTCACGACTTTCTATCAGCTTAAATCTGCGCTAGTGGCTGTTTGAAACGACTCAACTACTACCAGACAGAGATTACGCCACGAAAACAAATTCTTATACGATGCATCCTTAAGAATACAATAACACTCGCGACCCAAACATACTGTAGCCTTCCTCAGTAGGTCTGTATCCGTTCAGATTGACTGGTCTTCTGCCGCATTTATTTTGCAGCGTTTGCAAATTGTCTGCATGTGATTTGCAATTTCTCCATCTACTGAAACTGAAATGGCAGAGTAATTGTACCTGAGGAATCGTGGCGTCTGTTTTTGATATGAGCTATCATCCCCTCTGCGTCCTTCCGATCGGCGTGCGTATGAGATTCCTGCTACTCACAACTCTTAGATATGGGACCAAATACTTGTGTCCCGACTAGCGGTGGAGTTCATTTTCGGTATAAATTGAATACGATTCGATCTGCGCTCGCCTTCCATCCGCGTCTCTGATGTCCTGCTTGTCGATATTTCATCGATAATTTACGTCCTGTCTTTCATCTCCACGAGAGATCAAATCGTGGTGATGACGACGAAATGATGATGATGATGTTGAAATATTAGAATGGACCCCGCACCAGGACGAGGCTCGCAGTCGCCGGAGGAATTACTGTCCCTTCGGTCTTTCGAGCGAGCCTGCCGGAGCGACACACGGCGGGCCTCAACCTGATCAACACTCGGCCGCCGCCTCACGCGAGCCGACCCGATCGGGTCGCGAGTCTTCACGGCAGCACATTACCGGGCCAATTATGTCAAACATTTGGCTGGCCAGTCGGTGGAATTTGCTAACAGTTCCTGTTCTGATGATATGCGCGGCTGCAAACCGCACGTGCACAACATTTGCACATAACATGCATATCATACAACTGTGACAACCCCCCCACCATTTTTTAAGATATAGATTTGAGGCAAACTCAAACACCACAGCGGTGTCTATTACTGGACTCGTCTGTGTAAAAGAATGAATTTGTCAAAGTGAGATCTTCGGTTGTGCAGCTGTTGGCAATAAAAAAAATTCCCTTCAGCTACTTGGTGAAACAATTTGAAACGTCAAAACAGCATCTGCAGTAATAATTACCTGCGTGTGAAAATGCCAACCGCGCTCAACTCCATCGAAAATGTAAATTGCAGTTCAATCGAGTGAAGGCTTTTTTCCCTTCCACGACATATAAGTACTTCCGTGGATTGTCGAATCTCGTTAGACTGTGCTGTGCGTTTTTACACGTTAGATATGAAATGATTCCATCATTTACTATTGAAATATCTAGTTGGACTGACGACTCAAGTAATGCCATATTTATCACGGGAAGGAAAGGTTAATCATATAAAAGAGATCACTTCTATTCATGTAACCTTTCAAACAAATCTGTAAAATCCGCAAAGTGATACAGTAATTTGTGTGGTGGGCTATTGGAAAAGCCTCCAGCAATTTGTTTGGATTACCTGCATGTAATGCCACGCATCACGATTTCGATTGATTAAACAGCCCACGTACATAAATATTTGTGACTTTGTGTTGGAGTACCATGCACGCGACCCATTTTCGAAATCAGCGTGAAACGCTTTTTGCCATGTCCCAGTTAATGATGTCCCCCTCTACGAATCAAGGGGGGAAATTAGTAGTTTTCTTTCCTTTTTTCCATATTTTTCCATTCGGAAATCAAAACAGGTCTTTCAGCACTTGTTAATCGTAGTCAGATCCTTACACTACCCCAGCAACTCAAGAAGCCTCAGTTTATCCAGCTTCCAGCCAGTTCACAGCGGACGAGGAAACTACGTACGTTTCCTTTCCGGTCCATGTACAGTACTATTTTGGGCTGTGCTGCACTTAATTCTTGCGTGCAGTGTTGTCTTTGACCCATTTTACCAGCATCGAGGGGAACGAGGAGGGTGAACTTTTTTTTTTTCAGGGAGACTTTTTGTTCCCTCTCGGATTGAGCTTCCCCCCCCCAAAAAAAAACGGATTAACCTTTTCATCTGAAGAACAAAGCTCAGGAAAAGCAACTATTGTTACAAAAGCAATTTGGATTTGAAAGGGAGGAATCGACCGCGTTTAAAGGTACTAACTGCGGGAACAGCGATTCTGTGAAAGTCTTAATGTTAAAGACCGCTAACTATGCTTACAAGTCACTTTTTGTCTACGGTCTCTGATTTTCAATCCCCAATGACCAGGTGCGGTTTCAGATTCTTTGGGGGAGGGAGGGCTGGACCATTTAAACTTGACGTCAACTTTGAACTTTCTCTACGGCTTTTTCATTTGTGCATTTTTGGGGATGAGCATGACAAACGTTTGGGGTCTTAAGCCGCCCACTGCCCCCCCCCCGAACTGTGCCTGCCATTTGCATTTCAAATAAAGAGGGTATGTTGATCTGATCATATGAAAAATTGACTTTGATTCATGCACTTCTGCTCACAAAACAATGAGCAGCGGTCCAAGATGGTACACTGTGAATTTGCCTTGGATACTCTACCGTCCATGATAAAAGCGGGAATAACCACGGCAACATCACGTGTCATCACATGTCATGTTTTGCCCTGCACACAAGCTTAATTCACCGATGCCTAAAAATGCGAAGGCTGCCTATCTACATGCGGAAGCTGCGGTGCGTATCATGTCTGCATTAAGCCAACCACCTATACATGTACATGTACACCAATGTAGTTAACGCTGAATATACCGTCCAGTTTTTGATAGTCGCAGAAATTGGAACTCCAATAGTCATTCAAGGATGTCTCTTCTTTCAGATCCTTGTGTCCCACAATGTCTCCAAAACGTGATCACATCGGTGGCGTCACAGGCCCCAAGCACTTTAATTAACAAAGAGTGAGTAAACATACCTATTATTCGTTCAAGTCAAGGTATGAAACACTACTTTCAGTGTACTCGTTCGATGTTTGGGTTATTTTGTTTTCTTCTCTTTTCAGATTGAACGTCAACAGCATTCCGACAAGTAACTTCCGCTTCGCAGACTCTTAAAAGAGTGTTTTTCTTTCCTATTCCGCTCGTGCGAATGATTGCCGAAGAACCGTATTCGGTGTTATTGTATCAAACAAAACTCTTCTTTGTTTTGCATTTTTCTGATGTCCGGTGGGGGCCTCAAACCTTTTTTCTGAAACATTGGCTCCGTTCTCATCCTAACGCTAATTCGTTTCTGTGCTGTACCCGACTAGACATCAGTTGAAGGATCTGAAATCCCATGGTCCTGAGCACAGTCGAAGATAATGATACTGTCAATCGAGCGGCTCCATGGTTGGAGCTGCTTGACTGTTGACTCATACCTCCCAGGCTCGGAGGATTTCCGAGTTTGGTCGAATGAAAACGGTGGATAATCTTGGATGTTGTATGTCAAATGTGTCAGTCTTACACCTCCGGTAATAAATTGAAAGCGGTTTTTTCCCCACAGCTTATATTACGTATCTATTCGTTGTTTTTGTTGAAACTGTTTAAAAATCACAAAGTCAAATTCAGTAGCAATTTTTAACTCTGCCAGTGGTATTTATATTACACTTGGGCTAACAATTCTGTAGAATCGTCCATTTTTTTCCGTTGACTTAAAAACGTGTGAAATACATTGTAAATCTTTTGGTTGTTTATACTGGAAAACTTCATTTCAAACTATACCGATGGAGTACTTTGCCAGACAAATGGAAGTTTCTGAATAAAGCTGTAGGCCTATTTGAAGAAAATTTCTTTTTCGCGTAGAACTACAAATCGAAAGGTTGCACATTTTGTTTTTGTGGTTTTTCTGTTTTAATTTGTGTTTTTTGTGTGTGTTTTTGTTGATTTTGTTTTTGTCCTTATTTAATTGGAAGGAAACTTCATACTTTATTTTTGAGGCAGAAAGTTTAATGACCTTTCAGATTTTTGTGTGCGAATTGATCAACTCGAGACCAGGACTTCAGGTTTTGCTGTGTTTCTCGATCGCTTCAGTTGTAAGCTCTGGGACTGATTTCCAATCGCATCTCTCTCCTTTTTTTTTTGCAGCGGGTGGAGAAAGCTTTTGTCGAGCACAAAAGTTGATTTGACACGCTTCCCCGTTTATTTCCATGACGGGTCTCCCCGTGGGAAGGGTTTCACAAGCCAGTTAGGATATGAGTCTCCTTCCATCGTTATCATCGTTTCTGGCTAAGAACGTGGCTTCATCTCAAGACAAGCATCCCAAGAGACTGAGGAATATGGTTCATTTCTCGTGGAACGTGTAGATGGTGCTGAACGCTGACGCAACCATAGTTCTTTCGCTCATAAAACCGGTACGTTTACATCAGCAATCAAGTTCTGTTTCCACATTTCTTTTTAATAGATGTGAAAGTTGCGTATTCGACAGGGCAAGAAGGTTTTGTTTTAATTAAAAAGCTGTGTGCAGAAAAAAAGGCACAATTGTCCACTTATGGAACCAGATTAGATTCCTGTTCGATTCATTTTGGGAGGAGCAGGAATCTTGCTTTCATCAAGTGAGCATTGAAGGAGTTGCTTCAAAAATGGCTTACCAACACTAAAGCCACTTGAAACAACTGGTGAGTGGTTTCCCAAATAATTATGCTGAGCACACGCACTGCCGCACGCTATCAGATCCATCTGCAACTGAAAAGCACATAGCACTTTCTCTCCTGTGATTTCTTCTCAACAATGAGCAACCTGGAACGAACCTTCCTTTATGACGGGGGAAATTGTGTCCAAGTTAATGTACAGCTCCCAGCGTGCTCGAGAAGAAAAACATGTTGTTGGTTGACTTTCCCCGGTGGAATTTCTGTCCACATCATGACATTTTCGCGAATCGGCTACTGCTCCGAGGCAAGATGATATAAACGCATCAACTATCGTGCACGCGTAGCTATTTCCTGATGTCTTTTCCAGAGTCGTCACGAACGCACGCGCACATCACGCCCTGGCTCAGCGTGATTGCCGACCCTGGATTAAAATTTCGGATCTCTGATGAGCCAGCATAACAGTTACGTTTACTTTGTTTGGGGGAAAGCATTGCGTGTGTGTGGAACATTTCACGAAGGTTTCTTGAACCTGCGTCGCGTGTTCTTGCTCTCGGTTGTCGGTCGTTGTCATGTCGCGTTAATCGGTGACGAACGATCTACTCATGATCTTGTCAAGCATACATTTCAACAAACAAGGGCGAATGACCGCCCGTGCCCGTGCACCCAAATAGATTAGACATTGGACGCGCTCCGAACGCAGAACCTGGAACTTTGCAAAGTGTTCGAAGTTCGAAGTCAGCGATGAGACCGGGTCTTTGGGGGGGGGGAGATTTGTCGCGAAGGGTGGGCTTTTTTTTCATTATTAACGGTAGTTTACTTGCAAAAAGAAGCGTCGTGTTCTTTACAGTATCGTACAGTGTTATCTTAACCTATAACGGATTACTGTAGCTGGTGAAAAAAGGATAAAAGGACTGGGCACGTCGAGAATTTGCCCCGTTACAAATATTGAAACTTGAAAGTGCAGCCATCAGTCACAATTAATAAGATTACTGCTGTATCGCGTCCTACGGAAAGGATTTCAACAGTGCAATGATATAAACTACAGGTGAACTACATGCATAATATAACCAGGGTCGTCATAATTGAAAAGATGTCACAAAGGGTTGTTGTTAGCACAAACAGAGATATCTGATAACCAGCTGTAGACTTTGCACTGAGATCAATGATGGAATGATAGACCTGGATGCACCAAATGCTCAATAAAAGAGCACTTGTTTATCCTGCGAAATATTATCCAAATGGTGTTCTAATAATTGTAATAATGCATCTCATGTTTGGCTATCTTTAGTAGCGTACAAGAGAAATAATTACATTTAGCCGTGTAAGAAAACAGCATTTTGTGTCAACTTGTATGCTGTGAATAAAAATGGGGTGCTTTTATTTTACTTACCGATTAGCTTGGAGATACTTCCAGAAGCCTAGCGCTGGTATAGTGGAGCAGACGGTCCTTCAGATAACGGATGATGTTTTGCTGAGTTGTTTTCCCTGTTATTTAATCGCTTTCAACTTCCCGAGCGATGTCCAGTAGCGCAGTTAGGCTAGAACTTCACTGTTCAGCAGGCAGCGACCGCCGTTCCAATCTCGGTCCGCGCTCTATGGTTGTACACGCTGCCACACACTGTCAAAACGCGGCTACGATTCTCCGTCGCAAAATACCCGCGGAGCTACGAGGGAGAACGTCCTTACCGTGAACAGTCCTGAAATAATGGTCCAGCAGTTATCAAGCAAAAGCCAGTGGACAGACTGGGACGTTGTCACGAGCCGTTGTCAACCCACGACCACTCATGCAGGCCGTCCTACTAGTCATCTATTAATTCCACGCGGATGGAGCCCAACTATGCCAGTTCAAGTTCACCACGCACTGCGCGTGCCCATTTTTTTTCCTCCCTTCGCCTTGAGGTTAAAGGGCAAGTGCAAACGCAGCCTGCACCGGTGCTATATACAGCACGGACGTGTTTATACAGTTTATCTGTGCAGGAAAAGAAAGAATTTCTATAAAAGTCGGAAAGGGAAAGAATGCGAAAGGAAAATGCCGAGGGGAGCTCTCAATGGCAGTGCGAGGTACCGATTATAATAATACTCATTCTGATGTTGACACGGGAAAGTTGCAATTTCATTTTCGATTGTGATGAATACCAACGTGCTTTATCCAGTGCACAATTGGAGCCAGAGATGAATCATTTGAGAAAACCTTTAGCTCTTTGCATAATTGTGTTTTCTGTCCAATTTTGCACTTTCTATTAACACGGAAGCCTCTTAGGAATGACCCAAAGTGGCAAATCGTAAACGGTCATATCACGTACCGCACTGGCATTGCAAAATCATCCGCAACAGAGAGGATCGATCTGTCTTATTTTGGACAAACAGAATAGAGGAAATGCCAAATAAAGCGGTAAACATCGCTTCTTGGCTCTACATGGGCTATGACTGCTTTCGGAAGGGAGCTGCAAACGCGTTCCTGTGGTTGTGCGACTTCTCTGGGAATTATCGGCAGTTGGTCCTGACGATATTAGCCAAGGTATAGCCCCTTCATTATATCGGCATCTTAAAGCAACACCCCAGGGATCAACGGCAGTGCATCTCACCAACCATAAATGATCGGTTACTTATCTCTCCGCGGATACATTTAAATTTCAACCCGAATTACGAACTGATTGTAGTCTTCCAAGGAAAGGGACTGGACATCTTGAATGCATGCCACATGGGAATAGGAATATTTTTAGAACGACCAAGTCCTGGCTCATTATTTTTTTTTATTGGAGCGCTATAGTCAGGCGTAGTACCATTTCGTATAAATTCAGTCTGTTAAGGGAAGTGGGGGGTCGGTCGCTGGCCTACTGATGGAGCATTTGTCATTTGCAAACCAAACAAGCATTGCCCGTAGCACTCAAGTCCGTCTCTTATCTCGTGGATGAAAATGATATTTATCAAAAAAATCATGAGAGGTTCGTTTGGGGCATTTGCCGTGATGAATGGGTTCGGTAAAACCCATGCATTCCTATTGCTGAATATTGCTGAACACGAACGTTTATGACGGCTGGTACAATTATAGCCACAGATAAAGTCATATCTCGACGTAAAACCAATAACCTTCCCCGATTGAGATGGATTCAAAGGACGGCTTTCCACAAAACTCCATTCTTAAAGAGACTCCGTGGAGCAATCACACAATCCCCGCCTCTGTTAGCGAGCATAGTAACCCACATTCCCTCACTCAAAGCAATGGCCACTGCAGAAGGAAGTTCTATCCAAACGGGCTGAGTGTTTTGATATCCCTGTTCATCCTACGCGGACCTCCACGCGATCACTAGAAATTAGTAATCTGAAAACATATTTTGTTTCCTTTCTGGGGAGTATCTCCGGCCAGTCTGGTATTGTTGAACAGTTGAAATGAGAATGTAATACACAGCAACCACAAGGCATCCCGTGTTCTGTCTGCTGGGTCAGATTTCAATTCTCGCTTGCATTTGTTCATCACGTATCCGATTGCTGTTGGTCCGCGAGATAAGTGCGTGTGTTGGACACATTTGCTATTAGAAACTCTTACGAGAACTGTTTAAATATATCCATCTAATTACTTTGGGTAGATCTTATTTCGAGAATCGCGGTCAAGGTGTTTAAACACTCTCGCTCATTCTCTCTGTTACAGGGTGAAGAACCTCTTCATATTTTGGAGTTTTATCATTACTTCAGTTTGTCACACAGTATTTGCCAAACAACATGTATAGGCCAATCTACAAGTCGAATAAAATCCCAGATGATGTTCCGTGAACAGCAGCCTTAAGGAATTTGAAGGAAGCCTTATAATAGTGTGAATTTAAAATCGACCACTGTCGTCGAATATCTAACTATTTCGCAGAGTAAATCTTGGATAAATTCAAAGCTGTAGAGTTGAGTTAGAATAATAATATCTTGGCTAAGAAATTAAGTCCAGATTCTTTGAGAGTGCATCGACCGTGGTAACTTTTCACGGATAGTAGGACTTTGGAGCTCGGTGAGGAACTGCGAGGGAGCAAATCAGTCAGCATTAGTGATGGACACTACTGAACCCCCCTCCCCTCCCGCAGTCGCTGTTTCCCCAGGGAAACAAGAATTCTGACTTTCCCTTCCACTGTCACTCCAATCAGTGAGCAGATCCACTTTCCGGTCGGGGGCTGACCTGGTTGAATCACAGGCAGGTCAGTGTTGGCGTCTGCAAGCACAACGCTCTCTCGAAAGTTTTTGCTGGCAGACTCGCTCTTGACCTGGAGGTCTTGTCCCAGTTTCTGAGATGATTGGCCTTATCTCTGTTCACCCAGGCGTCTGGAACAACTGCAAGATTGTAGCCCACTATAAGTGTTCTGTAACGTTACAAAGGGGGCTTCCGTTTCAATATTATATCTTGAATCATCTTAAATATAAAACTGAACCAAGTGGCAAAGCGTGCATTTTGTGATAAGTCAGTTGACGTTCTATCCTAACCATGTCGGCTCGACAGGCCTAACCATGTTTTACAGTCTTAGCTGTAGTCTGGACCACAGAGTTCTAGCTGTATGATATGAGGGATAGCTAAGTGTCAGTTGTCTTTTTAGATCTCGACTTCAAGCAGTGAGCCTTTTGGGAAGATTAAGTCCACACGGGAAAGTTGTAACCTCGTTGATGTGTATCTCGTTAAAATGGCAGGCTTCGTACTTTAACGTTCCTGGACAGGGTTGAATCATGGTTGAATCTAACGGTGGAGCCGGTGGACTTAAGATAACTTCTCCGATTAGATATCTTTGAGC